GTTTCCTTGGTTACCGCTGTAAACAAAGCAGAGCTGCACTTATAAACAGCAATGAACAGTGTTTCCTTGGTTACGGCTGTAAACAAAGCAGAGCTGCACTTATATGAACACTACTTTAATTTGCATCGTTCAGAGGCAAGATGAAAAGAAAATACCACGTAAACTTTTCTAAAGCCAGTCAGTTCCCCTCTGAGATGCATTCATATAAACTCCAATCCCTAATTGTATCGCGATTTGTTTAGCATCGAAACCGATTTGAATCGTCACATATTTGAATCGATTTTCAACCGGTTCGCGGTGAATCGTTACATCCCGAAATAATCGTGCAGCCCTATATCGCGATATATTACGATATTGCTAAAACCGATACATCCCTATTTTTCCCATCAGGCCTTGCTGCTGTCATGTACCCGACGCCCCTGTACGCTCCGGCAGGCCACGGTGCTTTCACAGACGTGTACGAACCGGCCGATGACTCGTTCCTGCTGATGGACGCTCTGGAGAAAGATGCCGAGCAGCTGAAGGGAAGCAGGTGAAGCTGCTAGACTCTCGACTCACTGGGCCTCATTTATAAAGCGTGCATACGAACACATTTGATCTCGGAGTGTGTGTACGCTTAAAGCCACGGGAACGTTCATATTTGTGACCCTGGACCACACAACAGTCATAAGGGTCAATTTTTTGAAATTTCATCTGAAAGCTGAATAAATAATCTTTCCATTGATGTATGGTTTGTTAGGATAGGAGAATATTTGGCCGAGATACAACTATTTGAAAATCTGGAATCTGAGGGTGCAAAAAAATCAAAATATTGAGAAAATCATCTTTAAAGTTGTTCAAATGAAGTTCTTAGCGATGCATATTACTAATCAAAAATTAAGTTTTGATATATTTACGGTAGAAAATTTACAAAATATCTTCATGGAACATGATCTTTACTTAATATCCTAATGATTTTTGGCATAAAAGAAAAATGTATAATTTTGACCCATACAATGTATTGTTGGCTATTGCTACAAATATACCCCAGCGACTTAACACTGCTTTTGTGCTCCAGGGTCACATATGCTAATTATATTAATTAGGGGGTGTTTACAAGGCAGAGATATGACACCAGTCAGCAGCGCACAATTTCAAAATCATTTGCGATTTATCTGGAAGAGAGGCGTACAGTAGGCACGTGTTTTTGTGCACACATTCGTTTTCTCTGAATCGCACTTAATGCACTTTTGAGAAATGATCTTAGAACAAATTATCCACCTTATTGTTCAGCGTGGAAGCAAGCCTATGGGCGAGACTTCCGGTTCATTATCCGCTATAGGAAAATAACGAGAAGAATTGCAACGTGCAGTAAACGCTAAAACTGTTTGTACTACAAACCAGTGTGTTCATAATTAAGATAATAGATTAAAACTGTGTGTCTCTGATCAGGCCGTCTGTGTGTCTGGAGGTGGGCTGCGGGTCTGGAGTCGTCTCGGCTTTCCTCGCGTCTGTGCTCGGGCCTGAAGCGCTGTATCTGTGAGTATAGATGGATCACGTGGCTCATCTCTGTTTGCACTAATGAAAGTCACTGGTTGTGTTTGTTCTGCAGCTGCACTGATGTGAATCCAGCGGCTGCGCAGTGCACACTGCAGACGGCTCGGTGCAATCACCTGCAGCTGCAGCCAGTCATCACCGACCTGGTGAGACACACACAGCCACCTTCTGTTATTTATACACTACGTTTTTTTGTTTTTTTTTCACACATATGTGACCCTGGACCACAAAACCAGTCATAAGGGTCAATTTTCTGAAATTGAGATGTATGCATCATCTGAAAGCTGAATAAATGAGCTTTCCATTGATGTATGGTTTGTTAGGATCGGACAATATTTGAAAATCTGGAATCTGAGGGTGCAAAAAAATCTAAATATTGAGAAAATCATCTTTAAAGTTGTTCAAATGAAGTTCTTAGCAATGCATATTACTAATCAAAAATTAAGTTTTGATATATTTACGGTAGGAGATTTACAAAATATCTTCATGGAACATGATCTTTACTTAATATCCTAATGATTTTTGGCATAAAAGAAAAATTTTATAATTTTGACCCATACAATGTATTGTTGGCTATTGCTACAAATTTACCCCAGCGACTTAACACTGCTTTTGTGCTCCAGGGTCACATACATTTTATTTTTTATTTTATTATTATATATTTTTTTACACTTTTAGATTAGATTTTTATTTTTATATTTTAGATTTCATTTTCATATTATGTGTTGTTGTCATTTTAATTTTTGTAAAGAATTTTAAGTACTATAGAACATTATTTTTATTCAGTTTTAGTTTTTCCATTTTAGTGCTTTTTCGTTTATATTTTACTTTAGTTCTGCTTTATTTCAATTACCAAAAAAAAAAAGATTTTTTAGTACACAAACACACACACACACATACATGTACAATATACAATACAATATACATACAATATTTACATGTATATACATTATTTATTTGTTAACAACAGGGTTGTTATTGTTTACTAAAATAAAAGGAAAGATGAAAACCATAAACACATTTTCCTTACTTGAAAACATTATAATGAACATTAACTGAAACAAAATAAAATATTAAAAGACTTATACATTTTTTTAGCTAGTTTCCAAGGCAACATTTATCATTTTCGTTTTAACTTGATGTACAAAAAAAAAAAAACTTAAATAAACTAGAATGAATAAAAATTAAGTTTTTGAAATTTAATTTTGAAATTTAAAATTATTTAAAAATTATATATATATATAATTTTTTTTATTTTTTATTAATGTGTATATATAACACAATTACTAAATTATACAGTAACACAATTACTAAAAATAAGTGAAAATAAAAAAATAAAATCTAATTTAAAATATTAACAAAAGCTAAAATAGTATATCAATGACACTTAATTAACACTGGTTAACAGTAACCACAATGTTTCTGTCTTAAGCTTTGGTTTTATCTCAGATGTTTGTTTCCGACTCTGTCGTCTCGCAGGTTCAGTGTCTTCTGCCGAGGTTAAATGGAAAAGTGGACGTGCTTGTTTTCAATCCGCCGTACGTCGTCACTCCATCAGACGAGGTAAACGAGTGAATGTGAGGAAAACATTCCCAACAGCTCCAGAAATTATGCAGAAATAAAAAAATATCAGTCTGTCATGACACAGTAATGCTGCATAGTCAAACCAGGGTTTATAAAACGGATAGTTCCGGTGAATTAAAACTTAAATAAAAATTAAAATGTTTTTAATCAATTATCCTTTGTAATTGACATTTTTTAAAAATGAAATAAAAACTAATTCAGAATATTAATAAATCTAACATATAATCTGAAGCTAACATCAGGACCACTCATAACTTATGTGTTTTTTTATTCGATTTTATAGGAAACTGTCATTTCAGTGTTATTTATATACTACTATTATAGTATTTATTTATATTTGAATTTGCTTGTATTTCTATATTTTCAGTTTGTTTTAATTTGAGTAATTTTGATGTCCTTTTGTTATTTTTATTAGTTGTTTCTTTATATTTCTAATTAGCTTTAATTTATTTTTGTCAATTTATTTTATTTAAAATAAGCTTATTTGTATTCAATTATATATATATATATATACGGAAGGGGATTAGGGCCAAGCAATAATAAAAAAATCGTTAAAAGTCATTAAATTTCGAGAAAAAACTAGTTACATTTCAAGAAAAAAGTCGAGATAAAATGTTGAGATTAAACTCATTAAATTGCGAGAATAAAGTCGCTATGTTTCAAGAAAAAAACTTGTTAAATTGCAAGAAAAAAGTCGAGATAAAATGTTGAGAATAAACTCATTAAATTACGAGAAAAAAGTCGTTAAATTGCGAGAAAAAGCTTGTTAAATTTCGAGAATAAACACTCGTGTAATGTTCATTTCATCTCGTTGGACGGTGTTATTTAGAGTCTGTAGTGGGTTATACGAGTTTTTTCTATAACATAACGACTTTATTCTCTAAATTTAATGAGTTTATTTTCAACATTTTATCTCAACTCTTTTCTTGAAATTAACGAGTTTTTTTTTTTTATTTAATGACTTTAATATCGAGATGGTTTTATTTTTTTATTATTGCTTGGCCCTAATCCTCTTCCGTCTATACATACATATATATTTATATATATAGACATTTGTGTGTGTGTGTGTGTGTGTGTGTATATAGTGTTATATTGCATATTTGTAATTTATTCCTGTGATGCAAAACTGAGTTTTCAGCATCATTACTCCAGTCTTCAGTGTCACACGATCCTTCAGAAATCATTCTAATAT